ATGAATTATATATAATTGGTAATTTTCCCTTCTTTAAGACTCTTTGGGGACTTGACTTCATTGCTCATTAAAGGTTTTCAGAGATCTAAAGAAGGAGTTGTAGAATATCTTTGCTATTTTCTATGTTCAGGCTGCGATCCTTCTTTGATTAGTGTCTTTCCCCAAGCTATATTTGTATGGAACACTACCTCTGATTGGCAGTTCAAGTCTATACGTCCAGCTACTTTCTAGCCACATGGATTGTTTGCTCTTCATTGTTTCTCAAGTTTGAACCTAAATCTATCTATCTATCTTTCTTTCTTTCTTTCTTTCTTTCTTTCTTTCTTTCTTTCTTTCTTTCTTTTTAGCAGAAACACCCTTGTTGGAGAGTTCTTTATTCCCTCCTACTTAGAGTCTACTGGCTACTTCTGAATGTATGCTTCAGCTACTTAACTGAAGTACAAATAAATCAATAGAGTTTGGTATTGTGCAGACTCCGACACTGCTGTGTTGTTTATTTCCGATTAGGAAGATAACTTACTGAGAGAGGAATGATAAAACTACTGAATTCTATATACTTCTTCACTCTATTGCAGAGGGCACCTTCTTACTTTGTGAAGTAGCCAGGAATCTTTTGTGATCTTATGCTAGGGCTATAAGAGTTAGTACTGCATTGTCTCATCTTACTCAGCTTCTGGTTTTGTGGCAATTATACTGTCTACTTCTTAGAAATAAGTATTATCTGTGTGGTCCATGATTTAAACCTTTGTGGGAAAGCTCATAGCTTGGTAGAGAACATAGTAGCAAAGCATACAGAAGTTCCCCATTTCTTCTCTCCCTTCTGTTGGATCAAAGCTCAGAGCAAGAAAAATAAAAGTTTCCTTCTGAAAATAGAACAAAAAATTCAAGGACATCACATTGTCATAGACCTTCTAGGTGAGGTCAGCACTGCAGTTTTTGGAAACCACTAAAAACTGTTGCATATATAAAACAAAGATATGACTAAAAAATCAGGAACTAATTAAGACAGAACAGCCAAACGACACATGGACATTATGGCCAAAATGTAAAGGAAATGCACATCATATGTGCTAAAAGAGAATGGCTTTAAAAAGAGCAATTTGTGTCCCTAACCTTAAACAAGACGTTTAAGATACACTGAAAATTTGCTCCTTAGTGTTTAAACCTTTGCTGAAATCAATTCAAGGTATAGCAATGCTTTAGAAAAGGGGCGGGAACCTGTTATTCCCTCCTTTCCCAGCTGTTTTGTACTCCAGCTCCCAACAGCTCCAGCTAGCATGGCCAGTGGTCAAGGAGGATGAAGAGCTGGAGTTCAGCAAGCACCGTTGTTCTGGGCTGCAGCTCCCCTCGCTGCTTCAGAGGGGAGTCAGCCAGTCCAGCAGCAACTGCCATACAGATGGCAGCCATCAGCGTTCCACGTTTTCCTGCTACAAATCACTTCCTTAGTCTGCAGCAGCCAATGGCTCATCACTGTTTAAAATAGAAAGGAAATGTTATGATAAACAAGCTATCGCATAGAAGCCATTCAAGGAGATGTGTAAAAATAGTTCTATGAAGAACTTACTTTTCCTCATTTGGGAAGGCATAGTAATGTCTGGTAATTTTGCCTAGCAACACCAATGTTTTTAAAAGGACATGCATGCGCAGTGTGGTGAAAGTGAATGATTTATAAGCAATTAAGATGAAAAAGTTTCAATTAAGATGAAAAAGTTTGTTAATTTGAGGGATATTATATTATATCCATTATACTGTGGCCACGTGTATTGAAGCCCTCATGGGTTGTCTTGCAAAGTGTCTCTCTCTCTCAGACAAATTGTATCAAATAATTCACTGTAAGAAAACAAGTACTGAATTCTTTCCCTTTCACATCCCACAAATGCTTTTAGTTCCTACCAATGCTCCAGATCCATTTTGCAAGAGAGACGGACCCACTGGGGCTTCAGTGCATGTGGCTGCAGTGTAATGTGTAGTTTGTCAAACATGAGCACTAAGTCTCATCTAAAGAAGAGACAAACATGGAGAACTAAGATACCACCCAACAAGAAATAATGAGAAACAGCCTTGTATTTTTAATTAAAAACACAACATTTTTTCATGTCTCATTCATTTGTTTGTTGTTGTTATAGAATCAAAACACAAGACTTTTCCTTTTAATGAAAAACATCAGCCATTTAAACCTGTTTTTTTTCTTTCAAGCAGACTTGTAAAGGCCCAAGAAACTGCCTTTTGTGATTCTGCCAAGGCAAATTTTGAACCTTTATAAAATGTGGTATCAAAACAATTGTATTTGGTACAAGTAGGAAAAAAGGCCCAAGGAAGTACCTTGATGATCACGCTGCTTAATCAGTTGATCTGCAACTGGCTAGTATTATTGCCTTCTCTATGATCTGATCTGTTTGTAGCTAGTCTGGCTAAGGATCAACAGTGATGTGGAGTTGTCATTTCAAGGCTATCATATTCTTTTGAGGGGGAGCTCAAACTAAAGGATATACTCAAACAGGGAAAACCCTGCAACAAATTATTTTAGCTACCCTCCATCTCACTCTTTAATCTGAATCACCTAATGAGTGGGGGTATCATCAGTACAAATAAATATTTGGGCAAATCCCTGATAAATTAACTGGAAGCTTTCTAAATATTAATGACTTACAGCACTGCAGAAGTGTCCTACATTTGGAGTTACAACCCTACCTGGACAGAGAGAGCCTAGCTACAGTAATCCATGCTCTGGTAACCACTTGCTTGGATTCCTGAAATGTGCTGCACATGGGCTTGCCTTCAAAAAAGATCCAGAAACTTCAGCTGATCCAAAACAGGGCAGCAAGTCTGTTACAGGAGACCGGCTCACAGGAACATAGCACGTCAGTTCTCTTCCAGCTGCACTGGCTGCCAGTTGAAGTCCAGGTCGGATTTAAAGTGCTATTACTAAGCTTCAAAGCCCTAAATGGCTTGATGCCAAGTTACTGGAAGACTCACCTCATCCCATATGTACCTACTCATCATTACAGGCTGTTCTCCAGGAGCCCCTTCTGAAGGATGTGAGGCAGGTGGCTATTAAGAGGAGGGCCTTTTCAGTTGTGGCACCCTGGCTGTGAAATGAGCTTCCGAAAGAGGCATACCTGGCGGCTTTGTATTATTTTTATTCTCTCACCATTCTAACAGTTAAATTTTTAACTTCATTTTTAATATTGAATTTTATTCTGTACCGCTGCTATGCTTCTATGCGGACTCATTTGCAATTGCTATTATTTGTGTTGTTTTAAGTTAATTTTATCTTTTCTGTGTTTGTGTGTGTTTTTAATTTTTTTCTTAACTTTGGTTAACCACTCAGAGAGCCTTGGCTATTGGACAGTAGGAAAAAATGAAATAAATAAATAGCCAATCTAATGGTGCGAGGGGGAGACACAACTTTCTTAACCATTCTTCTGTCCTAAATACTAGATCTGAAACTTGTTTTTACTTAAGTTATTTGCAGTTTTAGCTCAGAGCCCACTCTCTATGAGTCTGGGCTTGGAACCACAGAGACAGACTCTTCATATTACTTTACACATAGTAGGTCAAATTCAACATTTTTCACTGCAGTCAGTTCACAATTTAAGGACTGATCTATATACATGCAGAAAAATTGGGTGATTATGTCACATTTAAAAGCTCTTGGATGAATTTTTAGCTAAACCATTACAAGATACCTTTACACTTCTGCTTTTTCTCTAGAGCTTAGGGTGACACACAACATTATTCTCTCTCCCTCTGCACTTCTTAATATTATCTTCTCAGTTACGCTGTGAAGCAGGCTAGGTTGACTGACCCAATCCTGAATGGGTACTTGAATCCATTTCCTGCCAGGCCAAGAACGACATGCTAAATATCCCACTATTGGCTCTACTGTTGTACAAGATGACACAAGGTTAAAATGCTACATGAAATGGAAGATATACTCATGATGAAAATGTTAAACCAGGAATGGAAAATTGGTTAACTTTCTCAAATAATACATCACACATTCAGAAAGATCCCCCTCCTTTAAATGTGAGAACATCCACAGCATGATCTATTTAAAGATTTTAAATATAAAATGTACTTGTAAATCATTTCTTTATCAAAAGCACAAAAGCACAGTGTGAAAAAGTGATCCAATCCTTACTTCAGAGTTACTGCTAAACCATGCTTGGCAGTTTGACAGAGCAAGAATAATCTTTAAGCTTCCATGTTCCCTTCCTTTCCCCTTCCTTACAAAAGGCAGAAAATTATAGTACTGGAAGAATTTCAACTTTTTTTTCTTCATATGGAGACACTATGGTTTGTTCAAATTGTTGTTATTCCTGTGTAGAAATTATTTAGTATCTTGGTTTGTAAACAATGGTTTGAATCTACATTTTCTGTATTTCTGTATTCATACATCATGGAAAACTTATTTGAACAAAACTGCAGATAGTTTAACATCATCTCATACATGAAGAGAGAGCATGTGAGGCTGAAACTCATGTATGTTTATCCTTGCCACACTAAACCATGGCTCATCTAACCCTATCATAGTTCATTTTTAGAACTACTTAATGTATAACATAGGCCAAGGAAAGAAACTTTACAACAAATATTATTCTATCTCCACATGAAAATTTTATTTAGAATTTATAGCTTTCCTGAAAGTTGCTAAACTACCCCAACCTGAATAAATGCATGAAAATGTATATTGCAAACAGTACTGTCATGCAGAAATAAATATTTATCAAATCGAACAACCTAATGATACAACTGAAAATAGCTGAGATAGTGAGCTGAAAAGATGGCATTGCCTCAAGATACAGTTTAATTCTTGTTCATTAACGGAGACAAATAAAAATTCACAAAAAATTCAGCAAAAAATTGCAGCTCTATGTTCAAGCAAGAAACGGGTTTCTTTGGGTACTTGTACACACGCACACACACACACTCAGGATCACCCACTGACACATTCTCCCTGCCCAAGAGCAAAAACCTATCAGGCAAAAACAGTATACCTGTTCCTGTGTCTCCAGATCTTTTTGTTGCAACTTCTTTTCTGCAGCATGAGCCCGGCTGCCATAGCTTTCAATCTCATTTTGCAAGTCCTGAAACAAGATTAAAACACAGTAGACACAAATGTTATTTAGATGGGAAAGAAACAAAATAGAATGGCAGAATAGAATGTATCTTCTCAATTCCACCATGACAGTTACCAAGTATGCTTGACAGCTTGTAACAAGAGCACCTGCCATTCACTTTCCTTTTAGAGAGTAGCTAATTCATTTCTACTGCAGGACTGACCATAGTTCTGCTGGTTAAAACAAGTCACAGTAGGTTGCTGTAAGACTGCTCCTGATAGCAGTGGTTTAGGACCTGGATACCTGAAGGCGTCTCCTTCCCTATGTGCCAGTCTGCCCCTTAAGATCTGGATCAGAGGTCCTTCTTCAGGAGTCCTCTTTGAAAAAGAGTAGGAGAGTGGCTACCTGGTGAAGGGCCTTCTCTGAGGGGGCACCCCAGCTGTGGAACATGCTTCCCAGAGAGGTGCGTCTGGTGTTGACCTTTATTCTTCTCAGTGTCAGGCCAAAGCCTTTTTATTTTCCCATTATTTTAAGACTTAATTTTTTATTTCAGTTGGGTTTTTATTATAGATATTATGCTGTACCTTTGTTGTTGGACTGTCCTGAGACTTTTATGTATAGGATGGGGTACAAAAGTTTTAGATAGATAGATATGGACAAAATCGTACTCTTTAAATGTGCAAGCCCAGAGGAAGCTGCTCATTGCCTTTGTGTAGAACTTTCTGTTCTAGCCTGGTCTTCTTATTCTCTTGGGGAAGCTGGGAAACAAATTCACTGGTGTCCCGGCCTCAAATATACTGCAAGCTTCTTTAGTCACTTCTAGTTGAAGCCTTTAGTCTCTCGGAGGCAGCCCCCCAGAGGTGGCTGCAGGGTGCATCTCTGTGTGAGCCCTTTCTCTGGACTCCCTTCCAGCTGCCAGGCGCACAAACAACAGTGACTCAGGCAGAAACAAAAGGTGGTATCCCCAACCTGGGAGGCAGGCCCACAGAGCCAAGGAGGCACAGAAGCTCAGTGGTAAGGCACACGCATTGGATGCACAACGTCCCCAGCAATGTTTCCAGACAGATACTTATCAAAAAGCATCTTGCAGCTCTCCTCTCTTTTCTCCCTAATTGATCTCCCCTCCCACTGCCCAAAGAAAAAAGCGGCAGCAGTGGGAAAACATGGGAGTTGTTCAAACTGAAGACGGCATAGTCTGGACCCCTCAGTAAAATTCCATGAATGAGACAGGTGCATTGAACATCTGGCAGCATTTGCGTGGCTGAAAAAGAGTCCATTCTGAAAGCCTGGAGAGCTTCTGATAGTCAGTGTAGACAGACAATGCTTGGCTAAGTGGAGCAACGATCTGACTTCTCATAAGGCCATTTCCTGTGTTCTAAAAGTAAACCTTTTTATGTGTAAGAGATACTGAGGTTAATTACAGGAATGCAGAACTTATAGTCTGCAATGAATTTCATATGACCTTTCCATTTGATTTAAACCTCTGAAGAACACGGATCTTTTATTCCATTTCCAGCCACAACATGCAGAGTGGCCAAGCCAGCAAACATAGGTCCATGATTAATTAGAGAGCTTCTGGTGCATTAGTGCTTCTTTCTCAATGAGGAAACCCTTTAATCCAACGCAAAGCAACTAAAAGGACTTACAGCACAGAGATTTAACAGCCCCCCTCCCCAATCTCTCTTGGACAATAACGAAATAGTGTAAGCTTAAATCATTTACAGGATAAAATGGCTATTCAGATAAGATAAGAAAGTACCTGTGATAAATCTGGCATAATTGTTTTGAAGTGATGCCAAGAGTTAACTTAAAACTATTAAAGCTGTAAAGCTTTAACATACCCTGATGCCAAAAACTTTAATCAACAGTAAGAGAGCTTCAGATCTTCCTAAATCTATATTGCTACATATTACATATAAACGGTGCATCATAATGGAAGTCCACTATAAAACACTTGCTGCAAAATTTTAGTAACGTTTATTGCTAAAGGAACGTAGCCTGGGATGGTTAAAAGACAAGTCTATAATACCCTCTGTTGCTCCTTCAGTTCCAGACATAAGTGTGTCACTATACTGAGCATTAAGGAAGAGCCTTGTTTTCTGCATCAAGCTTATCAGAAACTCCCAAGTCAGAGAGAGCCTCACCGTTTCATGTCAATAGGATCAGAATTCCAACTGGAGAATGGGACTTTCCCCTCCCTCTGAGCTCCTGCCCCACATTTAATCAGTTCTGGAGAAGCTTCAAACCCTCTGGAGCACACATGGGGCTATAGGTGGAATCACCCCATCAATTTTCCTTACAGAAGCGGTTTCATCGGTGGAAAAACCTCCTTGGATGTTACTGAACCTTTAAAATTACTTTTATACTTCATATGCTCTCTGCCTCTGGTAGGCCACTAAAGCTAAATTGTACATTACTTTGCAGTCTAAAGTCAAAATCTAGCATCCAATTAATTTCAGTGTGAAACAGAGGGGAAAGGCAAATCTGCAGCACCTCAAATGCACAACCACAAAGGAGGTCTCTAATGGCAGTCGCCTTTACTATATGCTCTGCATGTTTCAGAGTAACACAGAGACATTCAACAAGACTGCAGAGAAAGTAATTTTCTTTGGAGTTTCTTTTCTTATAGAGAAGAAGAAGTTTACAAGTTTTACATAGCATTCAAGAAAGAAAACAGCTATCTTCCAGTACCAGAGACACCTTTGCCTTTCCAATTTGTGAACTTAATTCCAAGAATTTATTGTATGAATCTATTTGAGCACTGATCCAATTCAAATTACTTTTCCCTTACATCCCTGAATTGAATTGGACAAGTTAAACATAATTTACAGGCTTCCCTGATCCCAGTGGACTTAAGCATGAATAACACTAGTTGGATCACAACCTCCTTTGAGGAAAAGTATTTTTGAATATATAATTGGTTTAGAAAGTTGGGATATCCTTTGGGCTACATTGTTCATATTTCTGCTTTTTTTCCATGCTGTGGACAGTACACACAGGCAATGTCCAAATAATTCCCAAATCTGGTTTGCTTCTTTGATCTGGAATCAGGGAGACTACATTGGATTAAGTGAGCATGCTAGCTCAAAAGCACGATCCATTGTAGTTTGACGCAACATGCAAACTCAGCATTCTGTGTTGTCGAGGCACAAACTACTCAGAATTTAATCCAACAACAAACCATGGATTGTTATGTGCAAACTTGCTCATTATTTGCCTCATGTACTGGGCAAACATGGATGGGGTGAGTGGGCAAGGAATGAGGTTTTGTTTTGTACTCTCTAATATCATGAAACAATAAAAAAAAAACATATTTATATTAGCTTCAAAGATTCAAGCCAGGAAGGCAGCAACTCCTCTGCCATCAACAGCTTACCACAGAATGGTGAATTGAACTTACGTAGTTTTAGGTTTGTGCCAAACACTATTCCCAGTCAAGCTAAAAGACCAACTCCAATTTCCTGGGATTTCCAAATTGTGACATATTGGCATAGTTGTTCTTCAGTGATATATCATATATTCATGATTCTGTGAGTTTAGGGATTTAAGGTACAGATATTCCTGCTTTGAAGCAGGGCAGTGATCTGCAGAATTATTGGTCCTTTCAGTGTCTATAATCCTGTGTTTATGGAATAATTTCATTTCTTTTGTGAAGCTGCACAGAAAGGTTATTAATGGATGTGCCAAAAGTAGAATTGAACATTAAGTCTGTGGCAAGCACCTGTGGAAATAACACACTTTAGACAGCACACAAAGACTGCTATGTATATTCTGATTTTAAATTGTACAGTGAGTAATTTAGATTTGACAAGAATCCTTATGCCCAAGCCTTATTAAAATAGAAATGCCCTGAAAATAACATCACCATAGTTAATTAGAACACCTCTGTTTTAAAAGTGACAGAAGGATTTCTGTTTAAGTAATTAAAATAATTAAAAGTAAAAATGGGAATATTTGTATTGATGTAAAATGAGCAACGGTTTGCACTGGAAATAACACATTTTTCAATGTCTCATTTTCAAAGAGCTTTGTTGCGCTAAATTGTGAAATAACAAATTAGTTATCTCAACACATACCTCTCTCTTCTGTTGCTTTGTACAAAAGAAAAAACAAGTATTATAGGGAAAAGGAGAAGGAAAATGTGTCTGTTTATTGGTGCGTATAAAAGCCTTGGCCGCTCCACTTCAATCAATCACCTGGTCAGGGTTCCCAGATGGAGCTTAATGGAGGGCAATCTCAAAGAAAAGGGGAAATGACCAGATCTCTTCAAGTTCAGGTGTCTAGCTTGCAAAATAGGGATCACCAGTTTCATAACCCTAGACCTCATGACCAGCTGTTAGACACTTGCTGTTTCAGCCTTACTGCTCTTTACCCTGCAAAAACTGCTTGCTGTATTTTATTTATATTTCGATTTATATCCTGCCTTTTTCCTACAAAGGGCTCAAGGCAGCTTACATCATTCTCCTCCTCCATCTTATCCCCACAACAACCACCCTGTGAGGTAGGTTGGGCTGAGAGTCTGTAACTGGCCCAAAATCACCCAGTTGGCTCCATGGCTGAGTGGGGACTAGAACCCAGGTCGTCTGAGTCCTAGTCCCATGCTCTTAACCACTACACCACACTGTATCCACACTGGCTCTCCACACTTCACCACAATACACCACACTGTATCCAGTCTACAAGCAATGTAGACACTAAACGTTGGGAAGATAACTCAGGATGAGGTAGAGTATACAGCACAATGAAGATCTGGCTGCTACAGAGAGCTATAGAAGTGCATACGACTTAAGAGTTGCCTGGTCAAGACGAATGATGAGTTGCCAGAGTGTATGACATGGAATAATCAGTTCAAGTTGTGACAACCCAAATTCATGCTGGACATCAGGAAAAGTTTCCTCACTGTCAGAGCAATTCAACAGTGGAACCAGTTGCCTAAAGAGATTGTGGGCTCTCCCACTCTAGAGACATTCAGACAGAAACTGGACACCCATGTGAGTGGGATGGTGTAACGTGGAGTCCTGCAACAG